GTCAGTCGGGGATTCTACCACTAAGCTGGCAGAATGAAGAATTTAAGCGTATTTATTTTTAGATAAGCACAGTGACTGAGAGAACTCGATTCGATTTACCGAAGAGTCTTGCATTATTAGCCATAGTGTGCACTGTTTACAAATCCACACTTCCTCCCCAGAGAGCTCAACCAAAATAAATTTTTCAGGAACATATATATATATATATATATATATATATATATGCTAAATATACACTATATATATATATATATATATATATATATATATATATATGAGGGGGGAGTTGTGCGATCATACAAAACTTTCTATATCTTGTAGCTTTTAGCAACATTTAATGTATTACTGTCACTTCTTACCATTTCTCCGCCACCCAGTCACACAAAAGTATTAGACAATTTGTTCCCCCATCTCCTCCTCCGTTCTGGGTATGACGATAAACTGCATCCGCGTCCTGGGTAAGACGATAAACTACGCGCAACAGCCCGTGCTGTGTATGACGATAAGCTACATTTGCGTCCTGGGTAAGGTCTCTGAATTTGCGTCCTGGGTAAGGTCTCAGAATTTGCGTCCTGGGTAAGGTCTCTGAATTTGCGTCCAAAAGCAAGGTCTCTGATCAGGAAGTTTTGAGGAGCGTGGAACCACCTCTTAATTGCTGGTCTTTCCAGGTCCAACCTGACCCGGGGTGGTAGTACCTGTTAGGGTCCCAGCTATGGGCAAATAGTTAAATCCCCAAACACTATGAAAGTGTAAAAATTGATTTTGATACCAGAAATACTTTTAAAAAATTATTTCCAGCAATACATATTTGAAGAAAAAAAATTACCAAAAATAGATTTATGAAAGAAAAAAATATTACCAGCAGCAAAAATTTTGGTGGAATTGAATAAGCCATTGAGGTTGATATGCCATAAAACAAAACAACCAACCAACCAACCAACCAGAAATAGATTTTTGGAAAATATATTACCAACAATGAAAATTTTGTCAGTATTAAATAACCCATTGAGGCTGATATGCCGTTAAACAAAATAAACCAAACCAATCTAAACCAAAGAATACATATTATATTCATACGAATCTATCCTAAAAATGTTGTCGGAATTAAATAACCCATTGAGGTTGATATGCCGTTAAACAAAACAAACCAAATCAATCTAAACCAAAGAATACATATTCTATTCATACGAATCTATCCTAAAAATGTTGTCGGCATTAAATAACCTCCTGAGGTTGATATGCCGTAAAACAAGATAAACCAAACCAAAACATTTCCTCCTATTTTTTCTCAATAAGTCTTATGAGAAATCATTTGGCCGAGCTGTCCTTCCTCTATTATCCTATAAATTTCAATTGTATTTCGAGTTTAAAAAAGTTTATATGTTGAACAATGAGTGATAATACTATGATATTTATACATTTAATATATATATATATATATATATATATATATATATATATAAATATATATATATATATATATATATATATATATATATATTATGTTACCGTCTTTTACATTTATCCACATGTCTGTTTTTGGCAAATTACCAATAACTGCTTCATCGGTAGTCTATGTAAATAATGCTTTTGAAACATTTTCAATTAAATTATATTCTATTCTTGTTTAATTCAGTCACACATTATACGTCATATGAGGCGATTATTCATATTGAGTGAGTATTTTTAATCGAATCAAATCAGGAAGACATTAGCGTCTCGGCAACAGACCTTTTGGATAGCCAAAATCTTTAAGATAGGTCAAGGAAGTCAAGAAAGGCGCTAAAATACATGTTAATGTCGAGCCATTGAAAATACAACGACCAAGGAATGGGATCAATATGTCTCAAGCTGGTACACATTCGACACGGTAATCCTTTGACAAAAAAGTGAGTTACCTACTTATTATGATTTATATAGATTTTACAAGCAAAATGATTTACTTATGTTTTAAAATATTAAATGCTATTGAACCTATCAGAAATTTGTTCGTAACTGCTTTAGTTGAAATGTGGGGTAGTTTTTTTTCACTTCATATTTAATGATTGCTGGCGCATTTGTAGGGCAAACAATATATGAGTTCGGGTAGAAAATGAATCACAAAACATGGAATTTAATCAAATGACAATTAAATGCATATTAAAACAAAGGAATTACACTACTGTGTGCACAATTGAAAGTAAATGAGAAGAAATTAATACTATTAACAGTGTGTTTGTTTGTGTGTGGGATACAAGCGTGTGTGAATGTGCGTGTAAGTGAGTTCAGTTGTCAGTGGACCGGGGAAATAAACGCGCCCCAGCGGGGACACTCGCGTCTATGCCTACTATATCTTGGATCAAGAGGTAGAAAAAGAGAAAGAGGGAAATAATGTTTGTCTTTTTATGGAATTTCACAGCGTTGCCTAATGGGCGTTTTTGACAAAACGAAGTGAATTAACCCACACAGCAATTAAACCGCAGGCATTGCTGCTGGTGATGACAATCGTTTCCATACTCATAAGAGTACTAGGAGCGAAAGATTTTTTTTCAAAGCTCATAAAATAGGGGCCTAATAGCAATGGTGTCGTTCATCTTTTTTCTTTCTTTTTGTTTAATAAATTTTCCTACCATTCCGTATTTATTAAAACCGCATCAGTATTTGTTTTATATTTTAGATGATTTTCGGGCACCACCACTCCTCCACCATTTTTATTAATACCCTTCCGTATTTGCATATTGATAAAACATAAGATATACGAGACAAGGGTTCAGTTCGACATTTCAACCGCCTGAAGAAGGCCGGAGAGTACAACGGCCGAAACGTTGAGATAAATATGGCAACAAAGATGAGAATAATAATGTAAATAGTGTAGTTTCATTTATTCTATAATAATCATACCGCCTCTCTGGTGACCCAGGTATGTAAACCCGTAGGTAGATAAGTCGGGTATCTGTGCCACAGTGAATTTATTTTGAACAGCATAACAGTAGAAGACTGCTGTCATAGCTAAAATAGCTAGATGTCTTTTGCCATAGCATCAATAATATATACAGAGGTTCCCAAGAAACAAGGGCGGGGCCATTTCGCATTGCGGACTGTTCATTACAACATTTTTGATATATTTAACACGTGGCAGGTAAAAGAATAAAAATGGCAGGTAAAAAGAATAAAATGTCTTATGTATATAACAAAATATTCTGAAGTGCAGATGCCATTATTAATAATTAGACAAACCCATCTCAAAAAGACGAGATCTGAATTTTGCAGATAAACGAAAGCGATTGCTTAAAAAAATGTCGAGTTGTCCCGATGATAACCGGTAAATACTTCTGGTATGAACATGACGCTCATAATAAGCTAATCGAAAAAAAAAATGAAAAAATAAAGAATATAAATATGACAATGCTTCCCTCCTTCTCTTTCTCCTCTTTTATTCCTGTAGACACCACTGAGCAGTATGTGGCCACAGTTCTCGCCACTAAGATTTACTATTGTTTTTTTTTTGTTTTTAACCAGCTTTTCACTTACCATGTGTTCCCAAGCAAACCCCTATCTAAGTACTGACAGGCCTCAACACTGCTCAACTGAACTGGTGTTTCAGTGTGATTTGATCGTAAGGCACATGACAGAGCGGGAATTGGTTTCCGATTCAGTGCTGTCCTTCTCCTACAGCATCCAAGGCTATTTACCCATAGCTGGAGGGGGAAGAAGAGGATTCTTCCTAAGAAATCATACCGCGTAAGTGGATGTAATGATTTCGACTGGAATTCGAACTCGGCTCTTCTATTCCCCAATTCAAGCCGCTATCAATTACGCCACCGTGACTCCTCTATATATGAATACACAATAAAAGCCAAAAATCGGCATAGTTCGGTATGAGTCTATAACTGTGCTGGATAAGATATATGACGCATTATATTTTTTTCGTCTGTCGAAATAAGCTTATTCCCCATATGAGGTGATTTTGGATTTTATCGTTTATTAATTTTGGCTCTTTTTGTGGATCTCTTTTAATATTTTATATTACTAGGATCCCCACTTGGATTATATACCATCGGATTTATTACCTTTACTATATATATATATATATATATATATATATATATATATATATATATATATATATATATATATATATATAGTTTAAATTATGTATGAATAAAACCTAGAAAAAAATCTCAGAAAATAAAAAGAATAGACTCCATCTGAACCGTCGACTACCTGGCCGACGATGCCATTCAAAAAATAAAATCTATTAAACCCATATATATTTTCACTGTTCCTAGTATAAAAACGCAAATACATTTTTGGTTGTAGTCCTTCAGGTCACCTTACTACAATTAAGATATAGTTATTTGAGATATGAAACCTAAGTCAGTCGGCGATCAGTTTATCAAAGAACGGAAGTAGAAACAAAAATAAATAAGAGGAAAGTATATATAATAATTAAGCCACAAAATGGTCATCGATTTTTTTAAAATTCATTAACTCTTGGTAGAAATATAGAGAATTTGGATATATTTCTTCGTCTAGATCATAAAATCTTTTTCCTGCATCTGTCTAAAAATACGCAAAATTTAATGATGAAAAAGTAATATAAGTCTACTGAAACTCCATTTATCTACGGTTCACTGCATTCCAGAATGATTTCTTTAAATATACAGTTCGTTTATTACGTGCAGGACTTGATTACAAATAATGTCTTGTCTGGTAAATTAAACGGTTGGCTTGTGATTTTATTGCTATAATAATTTTGATTTCAATACCTGGGCCCGGCAGTACTGATATAGACCCTGTGTAAACAAGGAGGGTTTTTAAGTGAGAAGTAAATAATAAAACATAACCCTATTAATGGACATTGCGACAAGAAAAATCAACCTCCTGATAATTACTCGAGCCGCACAGCACATAAAGAAGGCCGAAGGGTAAAGCGTCCGGAACAACAGTTAATATGAATATAAATCACGTTTTGTGCGATTCGAAACTCTGTTTTACTAAGGTTCTTTAAATTAAAACCAATTAATGTCAGAATATTTTCATTCACAGTGACGTGAATGTAGAGATGCGGGAGGCGGCTAATTCCTTTTCCCCTGAAAAAAAGACCAATATTTTAAGAAGGCCTTAACTAATTTCCTCCTTATCGTACTCCTGAAGTCTTTTTAATATTTTCCTATACTACATCCTGAGCATATACATGCACAGATGTGAAGAGATAGACACTGATCATTTAAGCCTACCAGACTACACAGCAGTATAAGACAAAGTTTCCTGTTTTCCCTCTCAAGGCCAATATACTAGTGATGAGAGGGCTATGCTGATGATATAGGTATACATAGGTAGGACAAGAATGATCTTAAAGAGAAAATCAGCATACTCTATCAAGTGTTCAAAGAAGCGGAACTCAACACAAAACAAAATGTTTAAGTTAAGGTACATTTCGCAAGCAGATATGACCGTTCAATAAAGATATCGAAACAGTAAATCGGAGTTTACTAACCAGACGTCTCTTCGTGGTTGAATGGTTAACAGCACATCAGATCAAATGATGGTTGACTTTGGGTTTACAGGTTGGATTCCTGTCAGAAAAGCATATATTTTCTACGACATTTCAGGCCGGTAAGTGTCATTAATACTGTTTACTTAAAAAACAGATCATTCAGTTAAATAAATTGTGTCTGTCAAAATAACGAATAAACAGAAAATATCTCTATCTATAAAAGGCAGGATGTGTGTGTGTGTGTGTGTGTGTGTGTGTGTGTGTGTGTGTGTGTGTGTGACGAATGCACGGCCGCAATTTTCGACGGATTTGCACCAGAATTTACATGCACATGCTTCAAGTTAGCGGGAAGACCAAGACCAACTTTGCATTTCCCAACTCACATCGATAATGGAAATAATCGATTTTTTCATGTAGTTTGCGGCCATTTTGTACTGGACAGAGTGAGAGCCTATAGCTGGCTGCCACGAATAGGCAGGAAGATTCTATTGGCCAGCGTAAGAGCCAACAGCTGACTGACACGAATGTTAACTAGCATGCTAGCATGCAAAAAAAATCGATAGCTGCATTCGTCACAAGTGGGAAAAATTTAAATCTGCATGGTACTTTACTCCAATTTGCTCATTCGTTTGCTTAATTCTGATTTCGCAGAACTGGGTTGGGTGTGAAAAAGTATTTGTTGTTAACATTCTTTTTTCATTCGGTTTTTCCAGTTACGAGTGCTTTTTTAAAGCTGATCGTTTTGTGTTCATTTTGTTTAGTTCTTTTTTCGTAACAGATTTTATGTTTAGTATAGAGCTTAGAAAAAATTCGCAGTGTGAGATAGGCAAGAAGTAAGGCATATAGCAACATCAGCACGGCAAAGGGCACTCCTTTAAAGGCAAGGAAGGGCAAAAATATTTTAAGTCAGGTGATAGCGATTGCTGTATGAGTCGTACGATTTCTGAATCAAGGACGGGCAAAGCCGGCTCATGCTGCTAATATTAAATAATTGTCGGACTTAATCCATTGCATAATATATATATATATATATATATGACTGTCTTCAATTTTTGAAGGGCCTCTCCGCAGGTTTCCAATTCAAAGTTGTCCTTCTCCTACAGCTATACCATCCAAGGCTACTTACCCATAGCTGGAGGGAGAAGAGTAATCTTCCTAAGAATTCATACCATTCCCAAGGTTATTACCGCGTAAGTGGATGTAATGATTTCGACTGGAATTCGAACTCGGCTCTTCGATTCCGCAATTCAAGCCGCTATCAATTACGCCACCGTGTCTCCTCTATATATGAATACACAATAAAAGTCAAAAATCGGCATAGTTCGGTATGAGTCTATAACTCTGCTGGATAAGATATATGACGCATTATATTTTTTCGTCTGTCAAAATAACGTTATTCCAGATATGAGGTGATTTTGGATTTTATCGTTTATTAATTTTGGCTCTTTTTGTGGATCTCTTTTAATATTTCATATTACTAGGATCCCCACTTGGATTATATACCATCGGATTTATTACCTTTACTATATATATATATATATATATATATATATAGTTTTAAGATGTGCTATAATTATGGGATAAAGTGCTCAATATCAGAGATAGAGCGTATGTAAATATAGATATAAAAGTGAACATTGAAGTCAACACTCAGAGGCGACAGGCTGTTTCATGCTAGACGCAATCGTCACGCCGCCTTGCGTCTAGCATGAAACAGCCCGTCTCCTCTGAGTTTTGACTTCAATGTTCACTTTTATATATACAGAGTGACCCCAAAAAACGGGAACATTTTAACAATCCAATAAAACCAAGAGTGATGGAAGAAAAATATTTTATTCATAGTAATTGAAACCTTAAAAGATGCCATTTACGAAACAATGATATAATTTTCATTTCTTAAAAATTACGTCCTGTAGATGGCGTCCTCCTGCACGAATGCATTCTGAAATGGCGTTCATCCTGCAACATCTCTGCTGGGATACTGTGAATTCATTGAATTCTAAATGGCGAAATCTGTGGTT